TGACGTGACACATACACCTCAGTTTCCCCAGTTTACTAATTCTTCTTCATTGCCAAAACCACTGTTTAATGCGTTCCAAACAAATTGAAAGAGTCGCTCTTTAAATACTGAATTCCATGCATTTGTCACAAGTTCGGAAGGAAAAGATCCCATAAACAAACAAATTTGTATTTTGAATTGGACCGCTGTCTTGGTTCTAGGGCCACACCTTGGCGATGGACTTCCTGAGAGGCGGTAGGAATTGAAAGCTAGTCTTGCCTGGCGTTACGAACACTATTTTAATAGCAACGAAATTCAAAGGTAAACAAAAGGTCACAGGGCGCACATACAGTCGGTAAAAAGAAATAGAGCATATCTTGAGGGCGTTCTGCGCTTCTCTGGCCGCGACAAAAACAGCAACAACAACAACAACAACACAAGTTTCGGAAGCGTAACAAAAGTAACAGAAGCCAAATCAAAGTCGATATACAGGGTGTACCACAAGAAAATTTACACGCTCTTTTTACCGCAAAAATCAACTAGACATCGCCGAACGCTCATTCTCCGCCCAAAGGTAGAGCTAGAGGTCACAACCAGATGCCAAATTATCAGCCCGATCCGATAACTTAATCAAAAGTTACAAGTGATTTTCTGAAAAGTTCAATAGGAAAATAGAGTCTATTTTTGCCCGTTTTCAGTTTTAGTGCCATAGAGCCCCATGTGTTTAAAAACTCCGTCGGCCGCCATTTTCCCATTGAAATTTTCAGAAAATCACTTATAACTTTTGATTAAATTATCGGATCGGGCTGAAACTTTGGCATCTGGTTGTGACCTCTGGCGCTACCTTTGGGCGGAGAATGAGCGTTCGGCGATGCCTAGCTGATTTTCGCGGTAAAAAAGACCGAGTAAATTTTCTTTTGTGACACCCTGTACAGTTCGGAGGAAAAGGTGAGTTGAATCCGGGTCTTGAGATGTCGGCGGTGGTCCGGTCCCTTGCGTCGCCCGTCGGGTTTGAGAAGTCGCGGCGGCTTGCGTATTTGCAGTGCCGAACAGCGTTCACGCACGAGCATGCACACACCGTCGAAGGCTTGCTCGCGGCCGACCACCCACACCGCCGAAGAGTTCTCAGGGCCGACCAGTTAGGCAGCCGCAACCTTGCTCGGCGTTCCATCAACCACACCGCGCGCAAATTCCACCTTTTTTTCTGTTTTCTTCTTTTTCCCGAGTTTTTCCCAAGAATTTTCGTGTCCTCGGCGGTCGCGCAATCCACTCAAAATAAAAACGAAGAAGAAAAAAAAGCTACAGGAATAAAAGCCGTTCAATTTTGTGACAGCATTATAGCACTTTGCAGAGGCAAAGGTCGCTGCCATTTTCCTTAACTAGTATTTTTGCTTAACTAATATTTTTTGCCTTGGCTTTGTTCTACGCCGGTAATAACACGGTTAACGAAATGCATGTGTTTTCCTGCCCTCGAGGAACCTCCGTGACGGAGACTTCTGCACGGACTACCCCCGTAATTCGTAACTTTCAGCGATGATGGTACCGCGGTGTGAGAATAGCGCTCCCTAGCTCCTGGATGATTGACCTCATAATAAATTGACTTGTTTACACCTTCCTGAAGTGAAAAAATAACGTAAGGCTCTAATACTGCTTGTCTATGAAAACATTGACCGCATCTCCACGTGGAGAATGATGTTGATTGGGGCGAAGCTCTGGTGGTGCTTGTCTGCGTAGACGCTGAGCCGCAGCATGCCGAGCCTTTCGTTCGTTTTCATCCATGTCAGAAAAAGAATGTGTGGTATGGAACGTGGTTATATACGCATTTGAGCATTTGACCGCAGCGCCCTCTCGTCTATAAACGTTGAGCCGACGCATGCAACGTTTAACGCGATTATATACGCATTTGACCGCAGCGCCCTCTCCTGTATTGACATTGAGCGGCTACATGCAACGTTTCATCCATGACATCCCCAGCTCTTGAGTTACTATCACATCTCGGAGCCCCAGGAGCCCCCTACTCGTCCCGCAGTCGTGGCCGAGTGGCTAAGGCGATGGACTAGATGGACCGCACAGGTTCGAATCCTGTCGACTGCGCAAACATTTTTTTTCATCATTTTTATTTTTGTTTTATTTTTTGCCCTACACGAGCACGTGAGCGCGGGAGCTCACGAGCACGATAACGAGCACGGACGCCGGACGGACAAGGCTAGACCCTAAGGAGATTCGCTCCTAAAACTAGAATTACTTACGCGTCGCAGACACAGCCTTGTACCGCTGTTCTGCGACGATCATTCAGATGACAGCCATTTTGATAGGCACCTATAGGTCGTGAAAGTTGCGAATGCTTTTTACAGATACATTCATGGCCTCGCTTTAAGTTGGCGTCTGTGAACATGGTACGTTCTACTGAGAACCCAGCATCTATGCGGTTTTCAATAATACGACCATGCGAGCCTGTAGGGTGTTACTAGAGCTATTTCTACATTTCCATCTTGACTGCAGTAGGCCCCGTTTCGTATATATTGAGCAGTATTAGCGGATAATTATTATTGCGAACAGGGATTGAAGATTTTGATTGGTGTTTATTTCTATATTTTATTAATATTTTATTCGTGAAGTGTTTCTTTATTGATACCTTAGTCAAAATCGTATATGGATAAGAAACATATTGGTCCAATAAATGGATCGGATCAAATATGATAATATAAGAACATACAAGGACCTTATAAGAACAATATAAGATAAATTAAGAAGTTACATACGAAACATTTTATCAGTTTCTTATAACTTCCTACACAATCTTATATTGTTCTTATATGTTCATATGGGTAATTTGTAAGCTCTTATGCAAGGTGTGATCAAAAAGTTCCGGGACTGATTTTGTGGCGTAAAAAGAAAGGGTAGCACAGTGATGCGCACGCAGCAGTCGATGAAACCTTCGTGTTTCGTAATACCAAATAGCGTCGCTGTGTGAACATTTGGAGCTGGGATACACCAGTTTTTATGACCACGCATGCACGGGCACAGCGACAATTTCACCATTGGCTGCAAACCCAAGGAACATCAATTCTGCGTCAAACTCGGCAAATATAAAACGGAGACCTTTGAAATCATTCAGCAGGCTTGTGTCAAAAAGAAGGGAATATTTCGAGGTGTTTTAAGTGGTACTTGCGGTTCAGGAACGACAGAACATCGCTGGAAGACGAAAAGAGGTAGGACGACCTGTGAAAAGGCTAATATCTCTGATAAATCCAAAATAGAAATGATCCGGCTTTTTATTACCACGCGATCTTTTTGCCACAGTGGCCATCGCCACAACCTTATCTGACCTCTCCTTGACTTCAGTGGCATTCTGTCATTCTTGAGGCGCCAGTGCAACTCAAAACACCTCGCACACCTCCCCGCTTTTTGACATCAGCCTCCTGAATCATTTCAAAGGTCTCTATTTTTTTGGATTTGCCGAGTGTGACGTAAAATTGATGTTTGCTCTCGCTTAGGCTTGCAGTCTACGGAAAGATCGCCATCATACTCGTGCATGGGATCAAACAAGCACGTGTATAGCACATCCAAATGTTCGCATAACGACGGTCTTTGGTATAACGAGACAAGAAGGTCCCTTCCTTCGACTGTTGCGCACGCATCACTGTGCAGCCCTCGCTTTTTATTTTGATCTCACCTTGTATATTATTATTTGGTCAAATACGTTTATCGAACTAATGTATTCTTATACATATATATTTTTTCACTAAAGTAAGCAAGGCACAAGTATGGTGGGGCCACGTAAAGTAAAATAAGCTTACCTTTTTGTTTTGTCATAGCGGATATCACCGTTTCATCTGTAAACCCTGCGTGTGATATTAGTCTGCATATGAGATGTGGAATTCGTTAGTAAAAAGGTTTGTTCGTCTGGAAGTCTTGGTCTGGCCTGGTCGATCTTCCGTCGACGACGTCCACAATACACATTTGTTCTTCCACCCGTGACTGAAGGAGCCAAATAAAATCAATATTAAGTTTTCGAGACAAATATGTTATTCTATTAAAATTTAAAAATTCCCCTCGAGCTCCGAAATGTTCGTGTACACGGAACGAAGGTGTAATTACATCAAGAAGTTTTATTAACATTAAAGACGAGCGTGTTGGTAAACAGACTTAAACAACCAGAAAGAACAATCCCGTTTTCGTGTTTATTCTTTCCGGTTGTTTAAGAATATTGTGACGATATTTGAATATACCGGGAGTTGTCCGATTCATAATGAAGCTTTCCTAGCACCTGGGGGGGATAGTATTAGTTCACTGCACTCGTATAACTGGCGTCTTGCGCTGTGGACAGCCATTTGAGATTGCTGCACTTAGCCTACTTGAGCTTTAGGCCAACAAAACTACAGTAATCAAAGCCTGCAAACAGTCTTCTCTACGTCCATGTTTAGAGAAAAGCAGCGCTATAAGACAAGAACAAAGAGAACTAACGTACACAAGACAGGCGGTGACTCAACCATGTGGTTTACTAGAGGAAAACGAAGACGAATTACAAAATCCTTCGCACCCACGAGAATGCCGCACTCAGGAACTGGTCCCGAGCACGACGTCAAACGTCCTTCGAGTGAACACGAGGCCCAGCCGATTCTTGACACGTCACTCGTGTTCAGTCTGTGTGCAGGGCCTTGACGCCTCCAGGTGGTGCTTGCTGACGCACGTCTGTCGATCGGAGCGCGCTGCTTATTAACAAAGAATGTCACCCGAATTCTGAGAAAACAGCCACGACGATACTATCACGAAGGACTGTGTCATCACGTGACAGGTGACACCATCATGTCACGTGATATTACGACGTCACATGACACCATGACGTTGCGTTACATTAGGATGTCACGTGACACCGTGACGTCACATGACACCTTGACGTCTTTTGACGTGCAGAGTCGTGTGATCCCGTCACACGCACACACAGCGCTTACGTATTGCGTGAGAAATACTTTGGGGTGAGCTGGGCAGCGTGATGAAGGTGGCGCTTGTTTGTGCAGCGATGGAGCTGGGCCTGACATCCGGCAACGGGTTCCATGACCCGTACGTGAAGGTGTCCATGCTCCCCAAGGTGGACACCAAGGAGCGGCAGACGCTCATCCGCCGGAACTCCACGGACCCGCTCTTCAACGAGACCTTCAAGTTCCCGGTGTCCTTCGACGACCTGCCCCTCAAGACGCTCCTCTTCCAGGTCAGAAGCCTTCCAGCTGGCGCACCTCTTGTGAGACAGCAGGACCGCGCAGTAGACGCACAGCGAGAAAAACATCGCCTCAAAAAAAATTGGGTTGTGTGTGTGTTTATACTGCCTATAACTTGGTCTGCCTCACAGGGGCGACGAGTCTCCCAGCTGTAGATGAGAAATTTAGCCAGTGCGGTACAACCGCTAGCCTGGGGTCTTTAACGTGCATCACGCAGTAGTGATACACGACCGCACGCCGGTACGATGCTCATCCACAGATCGAAACGGGCAGGGGTGGGGCTCGAACCCAGGATCCCTGGGTTCTGCAGCGCGAGCTTTCGCTCCACGTGCTCCGAGCTGGTGTGCGCTATAGTCGGTTGCAAGCTAAGAAAAATTTGGAAATACCTCTCAGAGGAAAATGTAAACCTACGCCGAGAAACGCCAGCCAATCGTTTTCATGACGTCACGATTCCGTGGACCAATCGCGATCCTTTTGAAAAAAAAAAAAAAAAAGCTCAACATGGCTGCTGGCTTTAGCAACGCGACGCTAGTTTCTCGTGACAATTATTCTGCTTTTTTGCACCGTGTTTTACGTGCCCGAGGTTACGCCACGAAATCTTAATGGTATCGGCTTGCGTTTGCAGCAGTTTTTGCGCGACAACGTGAGAATCCAGCGACGCTATCGCCAACGAAAATTTCGAAGCGGGCGCGAGGCTTAGCACTGCTGAGAGGTATGTTAGACGATATGTTAGACAGTATCTTGGACAGAAAATGAATTGGGAAGACGGTACATTGGACATGACTTTCTTTCTTTACTAAACAGCTATTTCGTTGACAAAAACGTATTCTAACTTATTTAAATGTCCTGAATGAATTAAATAAATATTGTAGTAGTTTAAGACACGTTTCCTGGAGGAAGAAAAAGCAACGTTGCTAGCGAACTACTTTCTCGACGGCGGAGGCACTTCAGATGGGCGCAATGCGCTTGTGGGTGGAGCTAAAAGATTGTTCTTAGGTTGTATCCGACTATAGACCACTCGGCCACCGATCCCCCAACATCGCCTCACATTCCTTTAAATGAGCATTTTAACGAGCGGCACTTTGAATTGCCTCCGCGCATGCTCGCGTGTTCTGCTAATACGAAGTTCCTACCCTACAGGCTGCCTCCGTTCCTACGCATGCGGAGGGGAGTGTTAGCGCCCCGCTTAACCGCCCCTTCGGACTGCTGTTGGAATAAACTGGAACGTAGACGGCCGTGACATCAGATAATTCAGATTTTAAGATAATCCAATTGTTGTACACGGTGCGGGTATGAAAGTCAACGATGAATGGGAAAAAGAAGAGCCGAATGCTTTCCGTAAGTAAACCGTAATCAGCTTTGTTGTAGTTTCTTATTGTCCTAACCGTATTTTGCTTTTTCTGAAGTGATGAGTCTCATTCAAGATTTAAAATTTCCCCATCACTTAAACCGGCCGACCCTGCGAGGCATGTAAAATTATTACATGAGGTGATGACGCTAACACTAAATCCAGAATGTTGTTGCCACGTGCACGTGTGCTTGACTTTACGAACTGCATGTGGGCGAAAAGTAGATGTACAGTGTTTTAATGCGAAAGCATTAACTGTCCCGTGGAGCGAACCGGCGTGATCAGCTTTTGAAGCCGTGCGCCAATCGGCACCTACGTTCTGCTGTCCCAATGGAGCGAAGTGTGTGTGTGTGCGTGTCTAGCCGTTGTAAAATAAAATTAGGTGGAAAAGTGATAGTCAATAGTGCACGCGCCCCTGTAGTCTGTGACAGCGGTTTGATGGATAGGCTCCCATTGACTGGCGCGCGTCATAGTTTCAAGGAACAAGGCTCCCATTGGCCAGCGCGCGGCATAGTTTTAAGGAACGCCATGCCTTGGAGCTGCGGGCCTGCGCCGGCTGGAGTTCCTGTATATACACTCTAAAAAAAGCCTGAGCGTCTACTTCCACGCACAACACTCGGAGAACCAATCAGCGCAACTTACGGAGGCAGCTCAGCGAATGACAATGCCGAACCATATGTTTAGTCCAAAAAAACGCAGTCTGAGTTCTGACATTAAGCAATGCAAGCGTGACGTTTTGAATTGCCTAATGTCACAACTCAGACTGCGTTTTTGGTCTAAACATATTTTTCCGCATCGTCATTCGCTGAGCTGCCTCCGTAAGTTGCGCTGATTGGTTCTCCGAGTGTTGTGCGTGAAAGTAGACGCATAGACAATTTTTAGAGTGTAGCTATACCTATGGTAGCAGAGTTGCGCATTCATCCTCGGCGGGTGGGCGTAGCGCCGGCTTTTCTGCACATTCCTAGATGCTTTGCTCGTCACGTGACTGAATTCAACGAATAGCGGCTCCGCGACCGTTGCCGCGCTTAGAAAAAAGAAAAGAAGGAGAAGGAGGGCGAAAGCAGGGGAACATACGACGGTGCACGTGCAACGTCGGTGGAGTAACCGTAGGGGTGGCTTTCCTGCAAGACGCTGGATGCTTTGCTCGTCACGTGATCTACCTCGGCGAATAGCGGCTTAGCGGCGCGGGGAAAACAAATGCGCAACTCTGCTTTCCCTTCGGGGGAGCATATGGAGGAACTCTAGCTTGAGTTACAGGAACTCTATAGTGCCGGCAGCCGCCGGTTTTAAGGTGTATCCACACGACGGACCGGGCCGCGGACCGATTGATCACGTGATGCGCGGCCCGCGGGCCGCCCAGCTGCAATGACCATCCATACGGCGGACCAAAGGAGCAGACGACAGAGTGAACGGGCCGGTGTGTACGTCGTGTCGGCGCAACACAGTGGGCTGGCATGGCGACAAACAAATCGAACCCGCTTCCGCGCCTGTTGCCGCCTAGGAATAGCCGTCACGCCCATTTGTTTTCCAACCGAGCAGGGGGCGCTGGCAACAACACACTCTGCTCGCGCTTGCGCAGCAGCTTTTTTGCAAATCGTCAATTGCAAGGAGCCAAGAGGGAGGTTGAACGAAAGGGACTTTTGGCCGCGGTGGCCCTGGCGTTGACTATTGAGGACGAGAAGGACTAAAGTGAACCGAAAAGGGTATGCATCTATTGTCCCACAGAGCGGGGAATTGCTCCACGAGCGCGATGAAGTAAAAAGTTGCATCGTCGCACCATGCCGCCATCGTCGCTCAACAAAAGGTTCGTCTTCTTCGTCTTCAACAGTTGGCGCCAAAAAAACACGACTTTGGATTTGGATTCCAATCAAACAACAAAAGTCAGCTTGTTGCCAGACTTAGCACTTCAGTTATACTAAAAACGCCGCGGTCCGCCGCCAAGGTCCGGGCGAGAAAAGCGCTTAGCATTTCTCACAAGCGCGGGCCGCGGACCGCCGGCGGACCTCGAAAAGCGGTGACGTAAAATCACGTGATGCGCGGCCCGCGGACCAAAACAACAATTTGGTCCGTCGTGTGGATACACCTTAAAAGGAACACGGTGGCGTGCGCTCGGCCACTACTACTCCTCTCGACGCCGACGAACATGGCGGCCCCTCAAGCATCCACATCGTCGGCCGCCGCAACCTCGGCAGTAGCGAAACCTGCCCGTCCACGCAAGTACACCGCAGGCGAACTAAGGGAGCGGAAGAACGCAGCGCGACGAGCGAGGAGGCAGGCAGCGAAATCCACCATCGTTGTCAAGTCACCGAATGCACGGTGGACAAAACGGGCAGCGGAGCAACGCGCTGGGAGACAGAACAAAGCCTTTCGGAAGCGTGAGGCGTAAGTGGATCGAGATTCAAAGCGTCTCAGGCGACAAGAGGACGTGGCCCTTCAACAACGCGGAGCGGAAGCAATACGCTGCAGGCGGCAACTAATAAGAAGTACCTAGGTGTCCACGGACTTTTTATTCAAAAGCGGCAAACAATTGTTTTTAAAACTGCAGTGGAAAGAAGAAAAAACTGATTCCTTAGGGGTAACGTTATCCACCGCGGAGGGCATCAAGTAAACACAGCAAAGTGATATTTAGCAAATCAATCACCTAAGATCGCCTTATTATCTTTTTCAATGATTAGTTTCAGAAGGGCACGTTCTAGTAGACCCTTTCCGGAATTCAGCGCCATCTGGTGACTCAAATGGCAGCTTAACTTTTACTGTACTAATGGCGGCAATGAACCTGTGGTCTGCAGTATTTTATGGGGCACCGTCACTTTCGCAAATCAACGGTAAACGAGAACGCGCACTTCAATTTACAGTCCTCTTTAAATGGCTTTCAGTGTCGATCGCGAAAAAGATGCAACCAGTCAGAACGAAGCGCCAGCCCACAGACGCCTTGATAAAATTCTATACACTGAGGAGGTTTGAAGTCGATTGTGGATACCACTAACAGATGGACTGAACCCGAGTTAGAAATGAAGGCTCACGCAGCTCTTGCATCGAATGCCTGCTTCACGCCGCGCTAACGTCTAAATCGTATAGACGCTTTACACACGCGCCAGAATACAGCCGCCATTGCTGACCTTCTCTTGTTTTACCGAGATACCGAGCCACTGAAATTGGTGTGGACGAGCCTCCATAAAGGCCAATGCTGGGGAGAAAGACAGAATAAAATCTAGGATGGCAATGACCTAGCCTGCTATGGTAATAATGAAGTGAAGTAAACGTAATAAGGGGAAACAAAAACTGAAGGTCAGTTATGGCGGCGCCCATTCACAGCTGCTGCAAAGCGTCTATAGGCATCGAATCATCTGCTTAGGAGCATCTTCAACTTCTTCCTTCACAAGGAGGACAGAAAGGTAAAAGAGGGCATGACGTCGGCCGCGTAGCCTCCACAAGCCATACTCCCTTGACGCCTCGCCTCTTTCTCATTTTTTTCCTTACTCTCCTCACTTACCTTTCCAACGTGACCCCATCACGTGACCGGAGCTAGCCTTGGTCTTGCTATGGGGTACTAGAATACCCCACAGGTCTAGCCTTCAATCTGAAAAAAACCTACCGGACGGAGCGCGCGCAAGCCTGCAAGGAGTCCTTCTACAATCAACCATCCATCTCACACGTGACATGTCACGCGCACCAATCGCCAGAGAGATCTGCGGTCACGTTAAGCACAAAATCGTTTAAACGTTTTATGACTAGGCTTCACCAATATTGCAACGTGCCCCCTCCTAGTACTTCTAACCTCCTTGTTCCTTCATCACTAAACAGAAGGCCGCCATTAGTATAGCACATATGCCATTTTTCAGATGATGATAGTGATCAAAGTTGGCAGACTGAATTCCGGAAAGGGTCTATTAAAAAGGTATTGGCCCTCCTATCCCGTAGCAGCTGTTAGAATTCAGACGATAAAATATTGCTCCACTCCACTTTCTGACAAATCGAAGCTGTGAGCAGACGAGGTAGCAGAACAAGACGCAAAAAGGCTCGAGGCACATCTAAGCACTTCTTATGAGTTGTGAATCCGAAAGCATGCATGCCCTTCCTGCGCTCCTTTATTTTGTCTGCGGCGTACTTCCGTCGACGGTCAACTTCACGCGCGCTCCTCGCCGCACCGATCTTGGGTGTGGAGCGGTGAAGCCGCTGCCTCGCGAACACGTAGCGCCATGGGGTGGCGCTAATTGAAGCTGACGCGCGGCGGCTTCCTATCCCTGCCGTTTAGCGTGGCTTTCTGCGTTCTTTCAAAGCTGGGAGGCCTCACATCGCGGCTTCGGGAATTTATCTGCCCTTTGGCGCGCCTGATGACGTCGGCTTGCTCCATGGGACGGTTAATGCTTTCGCATTAAAACAGTGGCGGAGGTCCCAGCCGGAACCGGCGTCAGCCTGAGCGGCGGACGCGGGTAGCGAGTCACCGCGAGCCAATAAGGGTCACGTGGCCGTACAAAAGGCGCGCCCTACTCTGCTGTTCCCTCGAGCGCTCAGCTTTGTGCGCTCTTTCTGTGTTAGTTTCGGTAAGGCGGAAACTTGTCAGGCTAACTTCGGCAGAGAGTAGCACGGGTCATAATAGTGAACAATCGTTGTCACATCAAAAAAAATACCCCCCGCGCGAGGTATATAAGTTCTTGCAGGATTAGGTTTTCGAATAAAAAAAAAATACGACGCTTTTGACGTTTCGAATGTGCACTCTTGATAAAATAATATATTGTTATCCTAAGATGCACCGATATATATATTATTTCAATATATGAAGAACATTAGCAACGTTCCGTGAGAAGCAGCACTTTTGTACTGCGATTCTTAAGCTCAAAACTTGTATAGTTGTCTAAATTTTAGCGACAGCTACGGCACATTTTGACGGCGGGCAACACATTTTTATTTGGAATGTGCCAGCTGAAGTGACTATAAACGAAGTTAGTGAATTTTAGGTAAATAATTCGCTAATTAACACTCTGCACTCGCCACCTGACATCCACCGCGGTAGGTAACGTTATTCCGATAGAATGAGCTCTCCATTGTTAGTTTTTTTGTTTTAACTATATGATATCTTAGAGAAAACACCTTGTATATCCAGGATTTTTTTTCTCTTCTTTATCTTGAGACACGGCTGTTCACCTGTATATAATAGGGAAGTTCAAATCACCAGATGCACGCATGGTCCGCGTTGGGATAGGGATGATGAATCATGGTGAAATTATCATGAAATGTATTGCGGAGCGATGAGTCACTGTCGAATGGCCGATAACGGACACCATTTGCACTTTTCTTGAATGAAGTGTGAACAGAGATTCACGTTTTATACCTCTATCGAGGCTTGTGTACCATTAGAAACTTGCCTTCGATGGCTATTAATAATACAACCTTCTTCCGCCATGTCAATTATGTTGATGAATATTTATTTATTAAAGCCTGAAATGCTTTTTAACGCTACTTCTTCCCCACATTTCCTCCTTCCGTCCGTGCATTTTCCGCTTTATTTAACGGAGAAAGTGGATTCAGGTGACCTATACACCTTGGGGAAGTTAATGCACGTGACATATATACCCTACATCTAGCGGGAAAATTCATATATGTGGCCAAAACGTCCTTTCAGTTCCCACGCTAAATTTAGCGGGAAATCGACGTCATGGGACCTATACACAAAATCATTTACCCGCTAAATTTAGCGGAAAATTCACCTCTTGTGACTTAGATACCAACCCAGTTTCCCCTGTAAATTTAGCAGGGCCATCGACGTCACGTGACCTGTTCAGTTTCCCCACTAAATTTAGCAGGAAAATATAAATGGCGTGACACACCCATTTTCTCACCAATTTTCTATAATGCGTCTCATGCATTATAGCTTTGAAGGAAAACGGTCGCTGCAAACTGTTTTATTTTGATACTGTCAGGGCCCAAGAGGCGTTTAAGAGGGGGCGGGAACAAGGTCTCGTAAAAAGTAAAATAATAAAAAGAAACAGTAAAGTGCAGAATTAGGCAGGTCTTCGGTTGTGGCGGTTTTGAAGAATGAGACGTCTTCAATGGAATCTACGAAGGGAGAAGGCGATTCCACTTTGAGTTGTCTTTGGTAGAAAGGAATCAAGGTACGCATTTGTGCTACAATATGGAATGGCAACTTTATACATGTTATCAATGTTGGTTGAAAGTTATAAGGACTGTTTAAGAAGTTCGCGTTGCAATATTAAGTTATAGACTAATATTTTATAGAAAAAAGAAGAACGCGAAATTTTTTTTTTTAAATTGTAAGTCCGAAAGGTTAAGATTAGGTTCCATTGATGACGCTAGTGATACCTAAATAAAGCGCGCAGAACCATTCCGAACGGATTCTTTTGACATCACTGAGAGTATGTAAATTGAGCCAGATCCCATACGCTCCTTCCAGCGTTGAGTGAATGAGCGTTCGATATAAAAGTAGCTCGAGAGACGAAGTGACTCGAGTTTTCTTATTAAACATGTTTTATTGAAGGGGGTTTTCTAAGCGACTTGAGACAAATTGTGACGTAAGTAGGCGAGTGTACGGTGAGCCTTGCTTATGACGTAGGCAACGTGGTTATGCCATGAAAAGTTGCTAGGTATGTGAACTCCGATGTACGTGACATGCTGTGGTGGGATATCGTCAACTGTATCCGCAGGATTTATGGAGAAAATGTCATGCTGGTTACATTTGCTTATAAGACTTAGTCATCAACAATTTAATACACCAGATGGAATTCATGTCGAGATCAAACTAGGGTAGAAAATTATCCCATTGGTTAATCCTTTTATAGTAAAGAAGACAGTCGGCCACTGTTCTTTCTAGTGAGAGTGGGGCCGAGAATCTCTAGCTGTAGCCAACATGCTGTAGTGGGGGTCATACGTTGTGCAGATAATTCTAAAGCTGACTACTAATATTTCTTCCGTGTGGGGTATATCTCGCTTCCGTTCCCGGCCTTTTTTTAATCAAGCTTTCTAATAACCGGTAACAAAAATTCGTTTTTACTTTAACGTGAAAAGGCTTAACTGAGTATAGGCGCCTAAAGCATTCAAGCTTAATTTCGATTTATAACTTTTTTCCGGGGTAATTTTCTCGCTTTATATTTTCACTGAACAAATGCACTTCGTGATGAGCTCAACGCATAGCACGCGGAACTGGTTTGCCATTCATTTAATCGGTGCATGTGCATCGGGCCCTCGCCATAGACATGTTAAAGCAGCTGTGCACCTCGAAAAAAATACGCAATTTTATTTGCACCACAAAAAAAAAAAAAAAATCTAAGTATTGCAGAACGTTTAGCTTCTGCCCAGATGTACCGCTAGCGGTTCGAACGAGATGCCAAAGTTTCAGAAGAAACCGTTGTTTTATTCAAATGTTGTAAGTGATTTTGGGACTTTTTAATTCGAAAATGGTGGCCGACGAATCCCAGGAGTACGTTATGATTGATGGCGTCAACTACCGGGACCGGGAACGGGCCCCATTCGCCCTTTGGAAGTTTCAAAAAGTGACCTATAACTTTTGAACAAGTTAGCGGTTAGTTGTGAAACTTTGGCATCGGGTTCGGACCGCCAGCGCTCCAGTTGAGGTGCTAGCGGAGATACGTAATTTATTTTTGCAGTCAAAAAATATTGTGGTTGTTGTTGTTGTTGTTGTTGTTTTTTTCGGAGGGACACGCTGTGCATTGTGTTACCGTGCCCTACCTGCAACCCCGGTTTGTCCAACGGCGTCGTGCTCTAACAGCGGCGTCACGGTCGCAGGTTTTCGACTACGACCGCTTCTCCAGGAACGACGTGACAGGAGAGGTGCGCGTTCAGCTCAGTGACGTGGACGTCACCACAGAGACAGAGGTCTGGTGCGACATCGAAAAGGTGGAGAAGGTACGTTTACCCTCTAATCGGACCTAGAAAAGCCTGAATGAAAAAGAAAACGATTTTCTTTCATACGAGGCACAGGTGTTGGTGAAGCTCATAGGAATATCTGGAGTAAGAAGTCTTCAGGGAAGTTTGACTGGCGCTGGGAATTTCGAAAAAAGAAACTTAATGAATTTATTCCTTCCTTCGTGTTTATTTACTACTTTCAGCAATCTGCTTTGTCTGAGTTGAATTACTTGCGAAAACGTAATGCTTCGTTCAGTCATTTACTTTGCTGAATTTACCCGCCATAATTAAAATTATGAACAGCCTTCGTTAAAATGTGTATATCGAAAATGTCGGCGGCTATCTTGTTGTTGTCTTACCTAAGCTACACTCGTATATATCGAACGCTTGGCTCGAAATATTTAGGCGTTTCTCGCATTCCATAAGACACTACGATATCGTCCAAGTATCGTGAAACCTGGTGAAATGGCGACTCAAAAGGACACTTTTCAAAAGCCCATGAAGCTACATTGGCAGGCGCCATTCGTTGATCAGGAGGCGTGTGATTAGATCCCAGTCCAATCCAATCACGCGAGGCGTGTGATAGGATTCGATACGAGCCTTGTCGAGTTGACACCGAACGCATCATTCGTGCCCAAGGCATGAGCTGGGTGAGTTCCCCAACAATGGCGGACGCGGATATTTGGTGTAGTGGCTGCTAGGTGGCGCACACTTTTAAAAGGGCTCTGTGCCGATCGGTCTTCTTCTTTTTTCCTTTGTCACGCCTCTATAGAATATCTAATCTTCCCTGTCTATGCCACCGTGCCGTGCCTCGGCTTCGTTCCAGGTGAAGCGCGACTGGCCCGAGGTGCTGCTGTCGCTGAGCTTCCTGCCTTCAGCCGGCCGGTTAACGGTCGTCGTGCTCAAGGCCTCCAACCTGGTGCCGGAGACCAAGAAAGAGAAACCCGGTACGACACCTTAACTTTCTGCATCACGGCCAAGTAGCTTGCACTACGATGCCGCCTCCTAAAAAGTGGTCCCTCGATTTCCGCTTGATGGCGCCATGCCTGCCACACAAGTGTCGTGTTGTCGCCGACCGCGATTCCTTGTGGTGGTACAGCAGCGCTGGTAGATGAGGCAAATGGCTGGTTTGCTCCAGGTCGCTGTCCAGCCTCGAAGCGTATGGGGGTTTCAGCAGCCAAGAGTTTGGCCTCCGCAACGGCAGCGACGCTCGGATTCGCTCTCACTTTTGGCCGGGACTCGTAGCGCCAACCGCCAGGATATTCGACAACGCGACACACCGGCTTCTTGGACGTCGAGTGTTGCCACTTCAGGACCATTTTTGATGTATGGGCGAGGTGGGACCTGTCGAAGACGCGTTCTAGGCAACGTGCGCATACTAGCCTACGTACTATCCTAGTTCGTAAGCCTAATAGTCACTGAAGGACTTTCTAGAGGTTATTTTAGCTCTGTCGGCAATCATTTAATTTAAAACTTCATTTTCATAACTCAAAAATTAGTATCGATCTTTATTTTTCGAGTCCTCTAACGGATGAAATGCGGTGCTTAAAAGCCATTTGTTTCAATTGTTTGAAAGATATTAACAGCCATTCCGGGAGTTTTTGGTGAAGCTGAATTGGTATGTCACGTGACCAAAGAAAGGGGAGGGGAGAGGAAGGTAACGATGGAGGCAGGAAGCTTCTGGAGGCGACATGACGCCACCAGAGGTAAAGCCGGGGAGACTTCCAGTTGGAGGGACACGGCGCCAACAACGACCAAAACTAAAAGACACTATTGGACGAAACGAGGAGCTGGTGTAGCCAGAATGGCTGTTTTGGGGTCGGGTGTATCTCAAAACTTCCCATTCGCATTTGAACTTTGCAAATTTCGACCCATTCTCATTTGGTTTTTCTCGTTTAAACCTTCTCATAAGATCCGAATTGTGTTTTTCGCAACTGGACCCATTCTCATTTTGCCCGTTCGCGCTACGACCGAACGGCACTAGTTCGGCATGCTTCTGACGTCGTTATGCCTTCGCGGCTTTGTTGATGAGCGTTACCTTGCTTGGGCCCCCAACATACCATCAGATATATCATATATGTTATGTGCAGAGGTACGCACTGAGGATCGTACATTGACGCCCGCGTCCCTTCCTCTAAGGAAACGAGAAAAAAAAGCGATGAACATTTAATTCGGAAACTTTGTTTGAACAAAAATAGCATACATGATAGCAGTGGTTCTCAACCATTGATGTTTCGCGGACGGCTTGTAGAAAGGCGGAGATGATGGACGTACCCGTTCGGGGTGAGGGGAATAAAAAGGTATAGGTTATCATGATAATTATTTAATAAATGGATATAACTAATTTCTATTGTAGAGTAGATTTATCTCATTGACATACATACCAGAGTACTCTTCCGAAAATTGGAACGTTTCTTCTGAACGTGAAGAAAGACAACTAATATTGCCGCGCCTGCTCTGATGAGACAGGGCCTCGCGGACCCCTAGGATGTCTTCGCAGGGTGGTGCAGGAATGCACCCGATGTCAAAAGCCCCGTGTCCAATACCCCGTGGCAAACACCCCGTCCTTTTTATCCCGTTTTCAAAAGCCCCAGCTTCAGAAGCCCATGACGCGAATCCCCCGTGTCAGGTGGCCAGGTCCTCAACTTGACGGCGGATCATTCTGCTTCTAACTAAAAAAGAATGTGTTGTCCAGCTTGTGTAACGTAATCATGAGGTACCCGGGACTTAAGGAATGAATAACTGGATAAAGCTTCCGTTCTTCAAGCGTGCACTAAACACATTCACGCCTTGCGACGTTAGAAGTGAAAATACGCAGACAATATCATTCACTGGCAAAACATTTGATGTTACAGCTATTATCAATAAGCATTGAACCGACGCTTTTTCGTCGGCTCTGAAGCACGCGCGGATTCACAATTACGACGAAGTGGGTTCTCTCAAAGCTGTTAAACAGCAGATCATGGCGCCATATTTTTCGAAGCACCAAACACCAGTTTCAATGTTCTGACGTTGTTTTAAAAAGTATTTGTACTCGTCTAGGTAGATAAAATTTATAACTCTGCGTCTGAGTATCCCTCTATGATAGCGGAGTGCATTGCTGGTGATGCCGATTTATGCAGTTGGCCACTTGTACATCATTCTAAGTGTTTCGGTAATTGAAGTTGACCTTATTTTGTTTTTTCTTTCAATTACATCACCCTTAGTAGGCGCTAAGTTAGGACATGGAACAATGCAGGTTGAAGCGCGAAGAGGGTGGGACGGGGCAGTGAGGACGGGACTTTTGGCACGCGAAGAATACGGGACGGGGTTTTCGAAAGGTGGGGCAAATGAAGCGGGGCTTTTGCGACAGGGATTCTGCACGCGGGGGAAACGTGCTACATCCGTCTTGGCAGATCTCCTTTACAGATCCACTGGATTGCAGAAGTGGCGGCATAGTCCTAAGTCGAGAGACCTCAAACAACGTGACATTTCGGAATATGATCTGGCTGCGATAAATAGTTGGTCTGTTTTATTGTCAGCTAGTAGCTTTTCACGACGACCTGGACGCACTGCTAAAGTATGCCCGTAGTGCGGCACACACACACACACACACATTATATCAATGTATTAATATTACCCTAAAAAGCGATTTTGGTATAGAAAAAGTCAAGTGCGACGGGTCAAAGGGAGATATTCTTCAGAATGGCTGTTTCGAAAAGAGTCAGGTGAAAAGGGCGAAACGAGAACGGGCCCAAATGAGGAGGGTTGGCGTGCCAAAGACAGAAACGGAAAAAAACCTAATGCGACAGGCCCAAGAGAGAAGATCTTTTTGAGAATGGTTGTTTTAAGAAGGGTCAAGTGATAAGGTCGAAACAAGAACGGGCTCAAATGATAACCACCCGTTTTGGTCACCATTGAGGGCGTTCCCGCCGACCGCGACCTCTACTTCCGGTTTCACGGCCGGAACTCGTGTCCAATCAGCGAGAACCCAAGTACCAGCCGAACGCTGCAAACGCGAGTTACGCAGGAAAGCACTTACCTCCAAGCTGTTGAGGTAGCCGGGAATGGGGAGGGAGCACTGCAGGATGGTGAGGAGGGGTACTGAGAGAGGGAGAAAATGATAGGGATGAGAGAAGGATGGGGAAGCTTAATCGGTGTGTCAATTGATCAAGAAGGGGGAGAGGGAGGGAAGTAAGGGCAACTAGGGCACCATAGGAGAATGTGGGACTGATGGGGATAAAGAGGTAGGGGAATGGAGGGGAAGGGAGGAAAACGTAGGGAATGAACCTTTTTCGAGTAACGAGCGTGGTGTGACAGTTTGTTCGCGAACTACAAATCAAGGGCAGCCCAACAGGACTCCGCTCGTGAAAACGCATTGACATCGTGCCGTTGTATCACTTTTCATCGTTTTTTATGCCCTATGCCACAAATACCCAGCAAGAGAACCAATACCCAACAAGAAAAACGGGAAGCAAGACCAATGGAAATGGTTTGGGCATTCGCAGAAGCTTACTGGGAGAAGGTCCATTGGATGTAGTGGGGAGAGAGAGAGGAGCGAGGGAAAGGAAGGTTTGGGGAGGACATCCTTGAGAGAAAAGAATTGGTGTGTCACGTGACGTACATTTCCCCGCTAAATTTAACTGAACTGGCGTATAGGTAACGTGACGTCAATTTTCTCCATTTGGTGTATAAGTCTCGTTACCTTAGGTCATGTGGCGTCAATTTCCCCGCTAAATTTAGCGGAAAACGCATAGAGGGACGGACACAATTTAGGGAGTAGGGGGTTTCCTTAAAAGACATTTTACGCTTTAAAATTTATAGCGCGTAGGCCACACCTATTCACTTTATACATACCTAGCGAGGCACAGTTCCATCGCATGACCTTGGAGACTATTACAGGAAACTCCGGAGTGAAATGGGAGACGGAGGCAGAAAGCGATCCTGGCGTCTGGGTGTGGGCAACTAAATATTTTCACTGGAAATGTAGCAAGTGGGTCTGACTCAGTAGAAAAATTGATCATCTACGAAATATTTCTTTGTTTGATCGAGCACAAACTCGTGATATGTCTTTTTCCCTTGATGTCGAGATGCAGCGTGGGCTGTATAGACCTGTCAGGATTTGCATAGGGACTATGTACAATCTAAACAATTAATTACGTTCTTTGGCTTGTTGTCTTGTCTGTTTCATTTCTGCCGATGCATGTCTTATTAGATGTGATTGACTCATAATTGACGATAAGTATCAATTTTTGATGTGATCGACTTGAAATGGTCCTAAACGACTCCAGGTGATTATTATTGATAATTGTGTTTTTTTTTATGTTTAAATAGTAGCTTTTGTTCCCTATTAGCATCTATCTTTGACCAGGTTGACTTTAAACGGGTGCCCATGGGTATTGGTGAGGTAATTGACAATTTTGTGCTATTCCGGTGTTTTTGAATGAGTATGGCCTCAATCAACTATTATTGGCTATAAGCGTACGTCCAGCTTCATAGATATGTGCTTGATTTGGATAAAAATGGGTATTAATGATTGGTATTGAAAACTGAGCTATTTCTTTGTTTATGAACTGGAATGACTTCAAGTGACTATTTTTGGCTGTTATCGTCTCTTTTTGACCAGATTGTCTTCAAATGGCTACCAATCGCTACTGGTTGGTACAGTTGACAAATATGTGCTATTTCGATGTTTATGCACGAGATTGGCTTCAAGTAAGGCTATTATTCGCTACAAGCATTCATTTTTTATTAGTTTGGTTCAAAATGAGTGTATATAGCTATTAGTGATTAGTATTGATAAATAGATCCTATTACCGTGTTTACAGATGAGAATGACTTCAAGTGGCTATTGTTGGCTATTAGCACATAAGTTTTTATCATATTGGCTTCAAATAGCTACCAACCGCTATTAATTAAAACTTGTTGTTGACCTAGTTGGTTCATAATGCAGTCTAGAGGGTTTTTTTTTTGTTTTTTTTTTTTTTTTTGCGCGACACAAGGGACAATCACAAGCGAGTGCTGGCGACGATAGGAGGACTGAAGATAAAAGGGTAACAGTAACAAAGAGGCGATTAAACGCTTGGTGGATCAAGGGAAAATTGAATGATGCACAACTAACTAGCACAGCTGGGGATAGGCAGGACAGAGAAAAATTGGGACTCCCTCCCGCGTGGCTCGGGCCCAAAGTCTCAACCCTGTCTCCCAGTGGGTCCGGTGCTGGTGTAACGCCGGCAAGGTTTTACCAGAGGAAAAATGGCGACTACCTCGCCCCGAAGAACCCCGATGGTCATCCAAGTGAAATGCCACACTGCCCTCGTGTGGGATTTCAAATGAGGGCAGTGTTGCTGCATGGTGTCCTATTTGAGGACAGATATCGTGAGTCCCAAGAAGAGGAATGGAGGGAAATCATTTCTATATTTTGAATGCTAATAATTCACTAACGACCATAACAATCTGATATTTATTTTTGTTTCAATGTTCGGCGCAAAAGCTTTGTCAATAAAACAAATTTAATTATACAAACTGCTGCTTCTTATTGCTATGAGTGTAGGAGAAGTAGTACATACCACCTTCGTGACAGCCGGCAAGTGCTGCCATATATCGGCCACCTGGAGAAGTTTTTTCTTTCCTCACTTGAGGACACCATTCCTAGAAGTATGATGTGAGACTGTTTTCTGTGGTGTAAAATATATTTAAAAAAAAAAAACAAAAAAACATCTTTCCTCACATGTGGCTGAGAGGCATGAGACGGCCAGATAACGAGTCTGCTGTTCAGGTTTCTTTTTTACATTTTCTAAGCGGAGAAAAGGCAAAAAAAAAAGTGAAGACGCTTTCTGCCCAAGTTGATGCCAATGAGAAGCGCTCGCTTTCCTGTCAAATGCCACTTAAGTTCAAAAGTGCCGTGAGTTTTTGTAAGCAAGCGTCAGGGTGGGGAGCTTTACTGGTGTCGGTGCCGGGTGCCGCATAAAACTGTCGCATAAAACCGAACCCGGATGTAGGGGATGAGGATGGCTCCGCACCTCCACCATACGGTTAAGGTGATTGTAAGGTTATTTAATTACACTGAAGTGGAAATGAAGTGAAAATAGCGATTCTCGCAAAGGTCCTGAGAAGCTCTATGCTTTTTCGCCCTTCTCCATTCCAGTTCTAAACTCGCTTTCTTTTTTGTGCCTTGTATCCATATTTTTCGTGTACTTTGTATTTTAGCGGTGCGGTCACAGGGTCGGCCTAGTCTGACGACCGAGATGTGCATGCCAAACGATACGTTCAACATATTTTGTTTTTACGGGGCTGTATGATGTTAATACGAGCATATTTTCAAGAAAAGGGCGGTGAGATTTGGACGCGTGCCGTCTTCATCGTGTATGTATCTGGCTCGGCGGACATTAAATGAATGAATAACTCATCATAGTAAGTTGGCTGATAAACTAAAATCGGTTAATTAACGTTTTTTAATTATTAGATTTAGGGATCATTTTACAATCGCAGTATTGACGGAAATCACTGTTAAAGGCCAAACCAATTTAAATAATTGCTGAAAAGGTAATGGCTTTTTTAATATTATTTGGTTGGATTTCGCGTTCTTCTGTTAGATCTAAAAGTTGAGGACAAAAAGAACGCCGCAAGCCTTGCCCATAATGACGCTTAATAGAGTAACGTCGTCGTTCCAGTGATGTCGTCATTTGTATTGTCAGTGCATCCACAAAAAACACGTTACCGAAATAGTGAGAAAGTGACTGAAACGACTGCGTCACTTTTCTAACCGTCACTGCGGGCATATGGCACTCTTTTGAAGCGCTACACTTAAATAGGGCTAAGAAACGCAAAGGTTGATCGATTATTATCTTAAGAACGATTACCTGTTCTCTAATTCTTAAAATTGATCTGGGCTCTGAGAGTTATTGCAGTCAATACTGCAATTGCTATATGACCACTTAGTTTATTAGCTTACATTAGTTAATTACCCAACTTACCACGACAAGCATCTCCTCATCTCATGTCCCTGAAACGTATATGGTGAAGACGGCACTCCTCTAACTCTCCTCCCCTTATAAAAAATAAATAAACATGTTAAAATTAAACACTTTGCATATATTAAATATAAACTAAAATTATAGCGTGAGTGCATTTGGCGAGGGTTTTCGTAAAGGTTCGAGATCCTATTAGGTCAGAGCAGGTTGTTGACTGTAAGCATGTGGCGCTGCAGACTCGTACGTGAAGGTGAGCCTGACATGCGGCGACCGCAAGGTGAAGAAGCGCAAGACGAGCACTAAGAAGGCGAGCGGGCATCCTGTCTGGAACGAGGCGCTCTGCTTCGACGTGGGCAGCGCCGAGCAGCTGGCCGAGGCGCACCTGGCCGTGGCCGTGTGCCACCAGGGCTCCAACGCCGCCATCGGAGCCTGCCTGCTCGGTCTGGACGCCGACCCGGCCGCCCCGCAAGCCGCCGCCCACTGGCAGGACATGCTGGCCAACCCCAGGAAGTCCATCGCCATGTGGCACTCGCTCCGGGTCTAGGCCGCCCCGCCGCCACCTCGATGGCCGGAGCACGAGCTCTCGGCCCTTTTCAAAACCCCGTCGGGCAACGTTGGCACTCACGTTTTCTTGGCCACGAAGGGTCGGATTGGATCAGAGTTAGTGCCGCACGCTGATGCGGTGTCCGATAGATGCGTGCCCAAACAATGGCGACTCGGATAATTGGCCAAGCAAGCAGTACATGGCGCCCACCTTTGAAAACTATAGCGCTTGTCAGGGATGGCGGGTGATAGCCCTCGTTAAAGGAGACTTCCTGGTAATGGTGCTTCTCGAAAAAGGAGGATGCCAACACTCGTGCTTGCTGGAAACGGCTATTACTAGCCTCTTGGAGAGGAACGGCACGAAAAAAATGTTTGTGCAAAATTGCATCCGTAGCATTTTGCATTGGAGCAAAACTGCTCGATAAATAGTGTATTTTCTAACCGAGGCTACAGTAAATGAAGTATTCCTTTACGCTGAACACAGGGATTGTTGTGGACCTAGGTCATTCAGATGCATTAACATGTTCTTTTGTTTTTTTCAATCTGAACTCTGCGCGCATTGCTTCCTCCCATGGCTCATGTGGGCAGAGAGAAGTGTTACTATTAACTGCTGTATAAAACTAGACGTTGACGACGTCAAGTTTGAACGCTGATTAAGGATGCTGCCGCTTTACCGTCCCTTGGCAAAAAGCTCCTGGTCGAGATTTTTTTTTAATTAATATTATCTTTGCGAGACACAAGGTGCTCAATTCGACGCAGCGGTCAGCTCCTGTAAGGAGTATAGACTCTTGAGCCCGGCGATCCGTTACAGGGAAACGCAATATACCCCTTTTAACCGCTCAGCCTCGGATGTGGGAAAAAAGGCTGTGGGTCTGCGATCAAATTGTGCACAATTGTTTTCTCTCGAATCGATTTGACACTGATGAGAATATTTCCGCCTTTCCTCCTCAAACCTGTCAGCAGTCGCCCCCAGCCCTGTCTAGTCGATAGCTCCTGGACTTCAAGGTTATTTGTCGGAGGCCAGCGCATTGCATAGATCGGTCACGAGTGCAGCGTTCGGCTGAGATTCGTGTCCTATTTGATTGAACACGAGTCCCAGCCGACTGCAGCACTCCTGTCAAACCTGTGCCACGCGCTGGCCTCCGAGTGGCGATGCCGGCCTTGTAGTCCAGGTGAGCGCGCGTTGGCAGTGCTGTACAACGTGAGCAAGACTAGCGCAAGGCCACGACATTAGGCACGAAAGTCCGCAGCTTCTCCTTGTCAATACGCAGAGAAGCATCGTTTGACGACCACATGTTTTCCTCTCGGGGCGGGTCGGGAATTCGCGAATAATGATTTCACGCGCAGACAGAGGCGGCACCGGTTAACACTGCTGCGTGTGTTTCGGATGGCCCATCACTGCTCGCCATGACGGGAAGAGGGCGAAAGGATTATACAATGGAGCCACACCAACACCACCCGGAATAATCGAAGCCCGTGCAGTAGCATTTCGACGTCATTACCGTGACATCGAGCGCAGACGCAGATTGGAAACAACTGCTTTGTGAGCGTCTGGCAGGGCCTCGTGTTCGATCAACGCGTCGAACGACGCTGGGACTCGATTGTCGAGTTGGAGCCATCGTAGAGAGGTGACGTTGCATGGAAGTATAGGAGGCACAGTGTTTCATTATTCTCGGGTGTGTTGGCCAAACACGGCGGCGGGAAAGGGGTGTGATTGCGGATCTCTGTAACGGATCGAGCGGCTCTCCGCCAAGCGATGACTCGGAGGGAGCGCCCGACGGGCTCCCAGAGGGTTCCCGACCTCTCCTGTGGTGCCCACTCCTCGCATGTCCTTCGGTCCTCAGTCTAGTCACGTGGTAGCGCATCCTCTTGCTGCTCTCCGCATGAGCGTCTCTTGGGTGCGGAGAGAAAAGTACAAAGCAGGGCGCAGCTTTCAAAGTGGGCTCCCGTGGACCCTTCGCGTGATTAACTCACTCAGCCAGACGTCTGTTATACACGTACGCTTGCGTCCTTTTTCGTAATGTGCGCTCTGTGGTTGCCCCCGGTGTACGCGTGGCGGGCGACGTCCGCGCCTCGTGTCCAGGAACGCGCTCCTCACCCTCCCCGCTCACTCGCGTCCCTCGACGTCGAGGAGTTTCGGCCGTGTCGTGGCGAGGGCCATCGTCGTACACTGCAGGTAACGGGTCAAGGAGTGCTAGAATCGGAAGACATATCAAACATGTACAGTGTCAAAGTTTCATGAGTGTTTATGCAAGCTACGTTCTTGTGTTCGAAACTAGCTCTTACCCCAGCGGAGTGTTTCCCCCCTGGCAGGGCGTATTTTGATGAAAACAGCTCGATGCCTGCACATCGCGCGCGTTGTCGTACATCGTCGAGATATATTTTTGTGCCGTTCCCCTATAGCCGCATTGAAGGAACGCCCTCTACGCGTAGGCTACTCGAGAATAGCTGTTACGATGTTGCACATGCTGGAGGCTTTACCATGATGTTCTGGGGAGATATTCAGCCGTTGCAAGGATCGTGCTCGGCGCGAGGATGCTGCTGACTAGGCGTGTACATTCGCACGACCGCTTCCATTGGCGTTTTAACTAGTCACGATTTTTGGTCTTATTCACGCTTCGAGCTCTGCCTTCCTGCACGCATGGCCAGGGCTCCTGGAATGCTCCATCAGAGAAGACGTTTGCGATGTCCGCAGTTCCTGGTCGGATTTAGAACATGTCATCAGCATCGAGCGTACCCAGCCAGAATTAAGGCCCTGGACTTGCTCACGAAAATGGGCCTACACACTAGCATCAGAGAGGCGCCACTAACGCACGTGGCACCTCTCGAAGGAGACCCTGCGATATCTATGTCGCACGAATATCAACTTAGAGCTGGAAAGCTTTGAGAAATATTCAACTTCATACGCAGAAATGTTACACTGACTGCCCTTGTCTCCCTTCATTTTGCCACCTTTACTGGCCCAGAAGCCCTCAATTGAACACAGATCTTAATTACGAGTTCAAGAACCGCCGGGCGCCTGACGATTATTCTCCATCTTTTGGTGGGTCATGCTAGATGCCCTACCTCGGTTGGACGCGTACGTCGCTCATAACTAATTTAATCTTCCGCTTAAACGGCTCATGCACAACTCCGTTCACTTCACTGGCAGCGTTGGGACAGCACCGCGCTCTTTTTTTGTGACCACCGCCCTGTTTCCTCAAACTAACGGGTACATAAAACCGCAAAGCAACATATTTCCAGTAGGGCCCATATATATGCTTGCGCAACGCATTCCTGCCATTGAGATGAAAAAACAGGTACACTATTTTGCAGATATGCGCAGTGTTCTTTCCGAAACTAATTTATTCTCGACAAATTTCCCCTCGCCCGATTAGTTTAGGCTTCCCCATTCTATCCTGTGACTTAGCAGTTCAGAGCCGGCTTCGGGCTGGGATGAATAGGTGTCTGCGGGTAAAGCTGCATTAGGAACTAGGCGGCGACCTGCGCTACCTTCCCAATTTTCGGAGTTTTATACGACAAACATGTTAGGCGAACAGTGTAAAAAATCTAGCTTTTACGGACCTCACATTAACAAGCAGGAGAGGAAGATATTGCGTTGAACGTCACGGAGTAGTCGCCGCGAGTATATTCAGAACAGAGTCTTGTTTTTCTTTCATAAGGATCGAGCTTTCTGCTTGGGGATGAAGAAAGTTTTGAGGCCTCCCTTCACGCAACGCGTCACTTAGGCCGATGTCACCGCTAATGCAGTCCGAGGCGTTCCTAGTCTGGCAGTCATGCAGAAACTGTCTACAGACATGTATGTATGCTGGGAACATGGTCGTACACTTGTATCTGCACAAGTGTACGACTATTGTGACTGGGGCTTTACACGTGTGCATAGCCCATGCGAAAGGTGCTGGGAGTCTGACGACAGTTCTCCAAGACTGTCTTTTGTTTACTCCCTTGAGTTCTCCGCCGACAGCTTCTTCCGTTCAGGGGGCGCGCTTTTTAGCTTGGCACTTTTGTTTTTCGCTACTTGTATAAGAAGCGCGTTGCGGGTATTAAATATCTAGGGCGAAATGCCACGGTGAAGCTCTTAACTACCATTTTCACTGGAATTGTTTTAGAGCGCAGCTCTTAGGGGCCCGTTTCCAGCCTGAGCGGCGTCGCCGTCGGCGTCGGCGTAACCGGGGGGGGGGGGGGATCACGTGACCCCCCCCCCCCCCCCGAGATCACGTGACCCCCCCCCCCCCCGAGGTGACGTGCCCCCCCCCCCCCCCGAGGCCACGTGACTACCCGCAGGTGACGTGACCCCCCTCAGTACCCTTCCCTACTCCTCCTCAAGAGCTGCGCTCCAATTCGGCGTTACAGGGATTTGTAAACGGCTTTCAATTTTTTGTGTTATTGTCTACGTTTTTTCGTATGCTTGGTTAGGTTTTCTCCCCGCATCAAAAGGCAAGTTCACACACTCGCTTTCAGTTGCAACAGGGTGCGTGGTGCAGCACTGCACTTCCTCGTGATCGCTTGGGATGAGAGGACACACTAGCGACATCTATCGAACTCTCGCAATGTCAGCATCTTTTTCCTGGTTTTCTGGCGTTTCTTCAAGATGGGCTTGGAAAACATTCCAATATATTAGAAACGAACTTTCTTTTTTCTCATAAAGGTGCGTATGTTTGATCCCGAAAATACTTCAAAACTTTCCCTCTCGTTAAATGTAGTTTCAGGATTACCTCAAAGATGGCGCCAGTGTGCCAATTTGTTCTCCCGTCGCAAAGGATCACGAGGTTGTGTAGCTCACTCGCAATCAAACGCAAGTGCGTGAAGCAGCTTTCGCGCGGTACGCTGTTAACGCCGTCTTGACTACTGTAGTCGTATCGATCATCATGCCATTCCAAACGCAACACTAGTCAATCAGGTACACACACGAGGATGACAACTGTGATGCTCGCTGTGAGGATCCATATGCCTACGTTCAGTACAGATACTATGAACAATACCGGCCGAGTTACCTTGTATCTGCAGGAGGAGGTTCATATGCAAAACAATAAAAACGCCAGTTTTTCGGCGTTCAGCACCGAAAAGCAACATTCGTCGTATTTAACTTGCAGACTCAAGCAGAATATGTTCTTAAAGCTGTATTTACGTCGTACACAAATCTGAACGAGGTCCGTGGACCTGTTGCGTTAAATGCCACGATTATTGTGGGAATTCCGACGGCATTCGTAGACCCACGTGTGCTGCTAGGGGTCGGTCTGTGATCTGCCAAAGTATCGGCCACTTTGTGCAATGCGTGAATTGTCTCCGCATGACCGCTGCCAAGGGAGCTTGTAGTACGCTCAGAGCACGCTATATTAGCGGCCAAAGACATAAATGAGCAAAAAATCAAAACGTCAAAGGCGCGAGAGAGTGAAATAAACTTTCAGAGACCAATATATCCTATCTAGTCATATTAGCTTAAACTATTGAGGCGCACTCACGAAACAAGCTATGT